CAGGCAGTGAAATTTCAAGGTGAGATTTTGAACATGAAACAAGAGAATAACAAATTTCCAGATGAACTGCAAGCTGGTTCCGATCGTGTTACAGCACTTCAGATTGAAATTGAGATTAGTCTGACAAAGTTGAATGAAGACTGTGAGCTTTCTGGATCAAAGATCCATCAAGGTAGCCGAATGCAACAGTCACGTAGTTGGTCTGGGGTTCCTTTGAGGTCATTTATCTTTAGTGCCAAACCAAAGAAGGAAAGGACATTGATCTTTTCCATTGTACACCCTACACTGCATCGTAAGTTCAGTAGTTCAAGATCAGGAAGACCAAGAAATAGGTCAATGGATTGGTTGCCTGTGTTAAGTTATACTATGAAGTCACCCCCTCCCTTTTTCTCAAAGTTGCTTTCTTCCTTTTAGTGATACTCTCACAGAATGCAGCAGTTTTCCTTTCTCATTTTGTTTGTGAACTGTTAAAATCATGTTTTCTGTTGGCTGTAGGGTGTTTCATTTCATAGTATGTACTTACAAATATGGTACAAAAATACATATATTTGTATCCTTCATTCTAAAAAAAAAAAACTCGAAGCTTAAGCAAATTGTCTGACATTTTCCGGTCTAACTCTGTCAGTGACTTATGTCTTGTGATTTTGCAAAACACCATTTCTTTTACATCATAGATACCGTTAGACACCCACATTTTGGGATGGGAGAACTGCTGCAGGTTCCAAACATTTTCCTAGGTTCATTGTCTAGGTAAGGTTTAAGGTTTTCCCTCTTAATTGCTCCAGAAGAAAGTGGTGTACAAATAAAAGGTTGGATTGAGTTCAAGATTGTAAGGCTTTAAAAAATCCATTAAAATATAAAAGAGAATTTTTCCGATAGCTGTAGTCGAGGCACTGAAGAGAAAAGAAGGCAATTATCATTGTTTATGTTACTCAGAACGGATGTCGGCGTCGGATTGGGGTATATGTTTTTCTTAGATTTCCATGCATTTGGAGAGTCAGAGTCCTTAGAGGATTATCTCAATATTCATATCTGAATATGCATTGAACACGAGTCATAGAGGAAATTTCAAGAAATACAAAAAGCCGAAGCAACATAGATCCCTGGACTTGAAATCACATAACTGCTTGACTGAAAAACTGTATTACTTTCAATATGAACTTCCTTGTTTCAGTGGCGATATATAAACTGGAAAGAGAAGCTATTTTTTTTTAATAAAGTTGCTATTATTTTCCTAGTATAATTGCATAGCTTCAATTCACGTACAGTACACATTTGCAGCAGTCTTACATGTCTTATGAACAAGTCTCTTATTGAGCAGCAAATGAGACCTCTGATACAATCCTGGCTCCCCTTCCCTTAGCTATGTATAGACCTATGTGATGCATCAGATCCTGCCATAGAAAATTTTTCAAAAAAGTTTCCTATCAATAAGAAAACAAGCAGGCCAAAGTTCATTTTTTTTAATTATTACTACTTTATTTTATTTACATTTCTTTATGTGATTGATACGTACTTTCTAGGAACCAAAACCTAGTTTGAATCAAAAGTAAAATATCAGCTGTTAGTTTGATTGAAACTTTATAAGCAGCAATGCTTTAAAATGATTTATAATGAAGAAATGGTTGATTGATACACAAGGGAAACTCAGAAGACATCCATGTCAGCAACTTGCCAATTCTAAGAAATATGTTGTTGGCATAGATTTCATTACTGGTTTAAGTTCATATCTGGAAGAAAGATTAATCGGTTTGCACATTGATCCAAATGTACAAGGAAAGTGAAACTTTAAGAAGGATTAGAGAACCAAGACAATAATAAGACATGGGGTGCAACAACTGGTTTTGAACATCAAAATTGAACCAAAAACAAGGGCATCGGTGATTTTGAAGTACCTGTGGATGAGCCAGAGCACCCTCGATATCTTTGGCGACATGAACGGGAAGATCGAAAGTTGCACAAGCACCAGAGTAGATGATCACATCCTCGAGTGGGGTAAGCATTCGCCGATTTCGAGCAGACAGAGCGGAACATACAAAATCCAGTACACATATGTCTGTACATATGCCGACAACCAGTATCTTCAAAATATTATATAGCAAAGCAACAAAGTAAATCTTTCCCATGTCTGCCGATACGAAGATCAATGAAAACAAATTTTAATTGTTAAAAAACAAAGGTACTTACAGCTTTAATCTGATTCTTATTAACCCAATCTACAAACAAATTGGAACCATCTTTGTCAACTGAACCAAGGAAACCATCAATGCAATCTTTGCATCTAAGGGTTGCATTAGCCTCGTTCTCAAGCCATTGGAGATCTACAATACATAAACATGGATGCCACTGAATTCATTTAAACGAAAAGGATCAAACATGTATAAAATAGAATAAGCAGTGGTGATAAAGTACCAGGAACCAATCTAGCTTCATCAGTTCCAGCGATGCAATGAGGAGGATATGGAGGCTCGGGAATATCAGGATGATGGGTATCAAGGAAAGCAAAAACAGGCCATTTTCTCTCACAGAATAGCCTGGCTAGTATCACGGATTCTTGGACCATACAAAATATTTGTTTATCAGGTTCCACTGGAGCCTGTATGAACAAGAAACGAACCGTGGATCCCTGATGAGATAACAGAAATGATAAATTTTATGGGAAATAAAAATTTACCAGATTTCCAGCACCAACTGTGCAGAAGCCATTGACAAGATCAACAAGAACAAGACCAGTCTTAGTATCTTGAGAAAGAACCAAAGAGGATTGTTCAACAGGAAGCTCCTTCTTCAACAGATCAATGGTCGCTGACACCATCTTCCTGTGTATTGTTCTTTGATCCCAATGGTACAATGAATTGGAAGAGGGAAGATTATTGGTATTTGTGTTTTCAGCAATCTAACTTTAAAGACGGCGTTGAATGTCGAAGTCAAAAAAGATTCGATGACTACAGTTGGATCAGGAAACTAGGACCAAGGAACATCGGTACAGGTCATTCAACTTTCTTTAAAATAGCTGTTTTCACTATTAAAATTTTAAAAGTTATAAAATAATCATTAGTTTTTTAAACAATTATTAAATAATAAGATTAATTATAACTAAAAATTAATTTAATAATTTTTTAATTTTATAAATGTGACTGAATTTTAATATATTGTTAAATAATTATTTTCATTATTAAAATTTTAAAAATAAAAATAATCATTAATTTTTAAAACAATTATAAAATAATCACAATATTATTAACTGTAATTAAGAGATGACATAATATGATAATTTAATAATTAATATATTTATTTTTTTAAATATGACTAAAATTTTATTTTAATATTTTTAAATAATAATTTTAAATTTACTTAAAAAATTTTAAAATATATGAAACACTATAATTTATTTTTAACATTATAAAAAATGTTTATGTTCAGATTCCTTCTCTCATATACATATTATTATCTTATTTATCTTCAAATTTTTCTTGATTTATAATTTATAATTTATCTTATTTATGTTCATATTATTGGCCTGGGAAATTTAAGACTTTTTAAGAGAAAAAATGATTTTAATATATCACGTCAATAACTTTTAAGAGAAATTAATGATGGTAATAATAATAATAATGAGAGTGAATTAAAAATTCAATGATCAAAATACAAGTACCCTAAATGTTTGATGACTATTTTATACTTTATCAAAACATATGATTTTTCAAATATATTTAAAATCAGGTAAAATACACAAATGATTCTATTAAAAGTTATAAAATCATCTCCGATTATAGTACACTATTTTATTGAGTCATTTGATTATTAAAATTATAAAATAGTCACTCAACTATTTTTATGTTTGAAACTCATTTTTTTTTTTTTTTGCTAAACTCATCCTATCTAAAGGGAGAAAAAAGAGAATACTTCTAACGAATCTAAAAATGATAAGCTAAAAAATTATAAAAGAATCAATAATTTAATCAATCAATCAAATATATTTTCTTAACTTTTATGATTAGTAAAATCTTATATTTAACAAATACAGATATAAAAATGGGTGAGTGGGTGGGTGGGTGGGCCCAAGAAAAAAAAAGTGAAGGTATAAAGACAAAATACAAAACAAATAGAGTCGAGGAAAAACTGAGATCCCATTTGTTTGATATTTAGGTTACTGATGTCTTCTTCCACCAGCTTCCTTTGTCCTTTCCCCCCTCATCCATATTCCTATATTTCTTCCATTTTCTCTCCATCATTTAAACTTTAGAGAAATTGATAGAAAGAAGGTGGTTTTGTGAATTAAAAGTCGATCAAAATTAAAAAAGGGGTAAAATCTATCCTTTCATCATCCCTAGACATTCATAAAAAATCTCAATTTAGGGGCTTAAAATAAATTTAAAGAAAAATAAGCCCATTTATATGTTTTACTTGAAGGTAGTACACTTCTAACTTTGAAATCTTTTATGAAACTCATAAATGTGATGTTTATATGTCAGATTAGGCTTGTAGAGTGTCTTTGATAAATAAGTAGGCTGTGATAATTTATGTTAGAAACTTATAAAAATGATATTATTTGATGTATTATTGAATCCATAAATTTTAGAAATTATGTAGGACCTTAAATCCAAATGTGGTTCATTAATACACGATGAAGTTAGTGATCAGTTTAAATCAGATCAATCTATTTTTTTATCATTTTCAGTTTAGATTATTTGAACATTTAAATCAGATTATTTCAATTTTTTTATTTGAATTGAGTTTTACATTTAAGTCGTATTAAGTTGTTTATTCAAATCATTTTAAATTTGAGTTAAACAATTATGAGTTATTAAATTTTTATGATCAATCTTTTCAAAGTCACTAATAGTATAATTATAATCATAAATTATACATAAAAAATTACAAGTATAAAGGTAATCACATTCAATATAATTAATATTATTTGATAGAAATTGTACATATGATGAGACTAATGTTTTATATAAAGGATCAAAATTTTACATATGTAATTTTTTATGATTCTATTTAAGTTTATGAGATTGAGTTTTTATTCGATCAAAATTTTGCATGTCTCGGTGTATAATGCGCCTTCCATCTGCTATACCAATGGCTACCTTAAACCTTGTCTTCCAGTCTAGGCGCTCCGGTGAACCTGCAGAGCCGATTATTTCCCCATTAGTGCAATGGTTATGAATTCATTGACCCGAAAGTATAATTACCGAACTAAACCAGAAACTGCAGCCATTTTGGTTCAACTCTTTTCTTTTCCCTTGATCAACTCATACCAATAGAGAAACTAGTATATGGTACCAAAAAGAACAGAATAAAGGCTGCATTGAGGGGAAAACTGAAGGACCAAGTGCAAGTCTCCATCGATGCTGAATCCGATTAAATGAGCTGCATTTGGGTGATCTATGTGAGCAATAATCCCAAGTTCTGACAAGAAATCATTCACTCGATCCTCCTCTTCTTTCTCATTCTTCATTAGTTTCTTCACTGCTACAACTTGACCATCAGGTAATTGCCCTTTGTACACCTCCGCACGCCCCCCTTTTCCGAGCAAATTCTCTGCAAAGTCAATAGTAAATTTCATAACCATGACAGAGATTGAAACAAAAAGTTAAGCTTAAAATGTTGTTGTTTACCAGGACAGAAATTGTCAGTAGCAGCAGCAAGCTCTGAGTAGGTAAAATATTTCCATGATAGCTTAGGCACTGCCATGAAATCAGTACCAACATCTTGTTCCTCAGAGGCATGGAGTTTTAGCAGCTTCGACCTCCTTGAGTTCTTCCTGGAAATATCATAACTTGGCAGCAAAGGAATAAGAGAGAAACTTCGAGCTGATTTCTTCTCAATTTTTCCAATTAAATTCTTCCACTGCAAACCATAAGAATCTGGGTTCCCTTTAATTTTGGGAGAAAATGAAGTAGAATTGCTGCTGCAGCTGCTGGTATCAGAGTCCGACCCCACCACAGGTATCTCCAGTACACATCTTGGAGATGGTTGATCGTTTACCGATTCATTTCTCGTCTCCAGCTCTGGGTTTTTATCTAATTCCCTTGACAGGCTTACTCACAATCTCCAAGTTTTTACTGTATATTAGCCCAAGTTTTCTATAGCACCCTCTACAACATAGACAAGACCCTAAGAAATATATAAATTACTCGGTTCCTGCGATGAAATAATAATAATAATAAAAAAAAACCGTACGCATGTGGGTTCATCTAGAATGATGAGTAAATGCATACCAAACTTAAAGATATGTGTTCAAATCCCCCTTTCCCCAGGATAAAAGGAAAATGAAGACAATTGGCAAGAAAGAAATGAGGAAATCAACAATGGTGGGAAATGGAGCACTAAATCAGACTTCAATCTCTAGTTTTTAGGCTGTAACATATACAAGAAAATCCCGCCAGCAACAGAAACGTTGAGAGACTCAAATTTTCCTGACATGGGAATGCTCACAAGCTCACATTCCAGCTGCGATTTCTCGGACAGCCCACGTCCTTCACTTCCCAAAACCAAGCATAGTGGAGCATGCACTAACGAGTGTACGAATTCTTGGGATAGTGAAAAAGGTTTTTCCGTTTTCCAATCAGCATCTGGATGGCCAGCTAGCATCTTCATGTTGAATGTACCTTTCAAGGTTTCAAGATGGCTCCAACTGCCGGAAACTATAGGCAACTGAAAGGAGGCTCCCCGGCTCGCTCTGAGTGCCTTCTCATTGAACGGATCACAACAACCTGGAAGAAGAAATACACCTCCCTGTTGGATATTGATCAAAATAGAATCAGACACAATAATGGAATGCAGAAATTTCTACACAATAAAGACGACTGCATTGGAGAAAAGTAACAGGGGCAGAAATCCGACTATGATGAGCAAAAGTTTATGTCAACCAATAAGTTCAACCCTTCTATTGTTGGTTCAAGTAGCTCAATAAAACACGTGATTGGAATTTTTCAGCAAAAGATAGGGGTTCATTGTAGGCATCATTGAAGAGTTTCAAAGCAGTTAACAGATTAGCATGTTTATGTATTCATAGACGGCTGCAAAATAATGTTATAACAGATTTACAGAGTATTATGCTAAAATTATATGGGAAGCATTCATGTATATGAATACATAAGGAAAACAAGATGAACTGTTGATAACAAGAAACAGACCGGAAGAAGAGGAAAAATTTCAGGTTAAAAGTTTCATTCCTTACCCACTGAAAGGCCATAGCTGATCTGATTAATGTACCAAGATTACCAGGGTCCTGCAGGGATAATTTCACATGAATCAGAGAAGATCCCTCAAATCAAATGGTGCAGTTATAGCTTAATGATTAAATGGCATTGCATGATTATATCATTGGATTTAACATGTTTATAGTGTGTTACGAGGAAACCTATACTATTTCATGAGATTGCACATAAAGGCAAATAAAATAAAGCACAGGATGACGCATGCAATGTATTTGGGACTTTATTTGAAATGGATCTTCTGTCAACGAATCTTATTAGTTGACATTACATAAGAAACAGTATAACATTGAATTCCAGCAGATACGCCATGAGGAGGTTGTAGAGAGAAGACTTTGCGAACAAATATGAGAACACAAAGATACACCTTTTTTGGATGCATCCTAAAGAAAAGCTTTAGTGATTATATGATTTCCTCCAGATGCTTAAAAAGGAGTTCCGATAATTACTTTGATGTTCACAGTGACAGAAGACAAGTCACTGTAACTTCTTGAACATTTAGAAACGTTGACAAATATTGGTCATCTTTTTAAAAGAAATGTGTAGTAACTGTCTTGATAAAAATGCTTCAAAAGTTTGCAATCACCTGAATTCCATCAAGAACTAAAATTCGATGTGTGGATGGGAACCAACTCTGAGAATCAGACTTGTTTTGATCAACAGATAAATTTAAAAAACTGGTAGGGAACCTCATCAAGGCAATCGCCTCAATAGACTCAGCTGATTGCACCCCAGAAAGTTTTTTCATTACCGTGGAGCTTATTCGCACAACATGACCAGAGTGAGTATCTAGTCCTTCAGGAATCTCAGCTTTGTCAAGTAGTAGCAAAAAGTCTATTACAGTTTTCTCTTGTGAAGCTTCTTTATACCAGTATATTTCCCTGCAAAAGACATGTCATAATAACTTAGCTTAACCCAAAAGAACCATAACCTTTACATGTCTAACTTCATGCAAATTGCCTTCAAGATGATAGCTTGAGGAAAGAAGGAAAACCCAAACGAGAGGCATATTATGTTAACTCATTAATCAAATCAGTTATTGACATAACAGTAAAAAGATCCATAAGTTCTTTAATTGACGTGGGTGTAAAATCTAAAGGTCTGGCCCCAAATCAACGGTCATGGGGATTAAAAATTGCAGTTGCGGCAGCATTTTTTGTTGCATTACGTTTATCGCGATTACGGACATAGTAGATTTTATTATAGATATTGCGAATGTGTAATAACAGTTTCGGATGACACCATTATTGTTATATAATGGCCACTATTCAGGTAGCGGACCACCATTTAAATCCCCACGCTAGTTAGCAAGAAGACAATTGACAGAGAAAACATAGCATTTGACTGCAAAAAAAGAAAAAAAAAAAGCTGTATTTCTAATCAGCTGAGATGATACCACCAAGTCAGTTGAAGCACTGCTAAAGGCTAAAAATCGTAAGTTCCGTAATCCTCAAAACAACACCAACAAGCTAATGGAGCAGAGAATATCGCACTTTATATTAAAATAACATAAAAAATAGAGTTAAATTCTCGTTTGAACAAAACAAAGAAAAATCTACTTCACAATTAAAAGAAGGGGGTGTAATTGGACATTATCCTGTTATCTTCTCATCATTTCTCCATTTCTAAGCAACAGAAGTACTATAAAGCAAATAGCACAGGATAAAAGAAACCCATCAGAGGTTTTGGGCAATTAACTGAAAATTCAAAGAGACCCAAACCTATGGCTTTGAATAGAAAGGTTACCTGAGAGGAGTAGTGCCAACAACAAGGACAGAAGCATGAGAATGGCGATAAGAAGAGCTGTTTTTGAGCTTAAGACAGTGTTTTACAAATGGGTTTGAAGTGCTTGTAATGGATTTAACATGGGATGGCAATGCAAATTTCAATAACCCAGAACTATCAGCATCATCGTCAATATCGTGAAATCGACTGCCAAAAGACTTCCTTTGGAATTGGGTCTTTGTTTTAGGGATTGAAATATCGGAATTTTGATTTAGTAGATTCAAATGTTGAGGATAACTCGCTTGTACCCAAGGCGTGTACGAGCATAGCATGCTTTCTCTCTGTGTAATCTAATCTATGGAGTCCTGATTATCCTATTTTATCATAGAAAATACAAATACATTGGGCATCTAAAAGTAACGATGGACAAATTATACCTGGTTCACAAAGTTAAAAAACTTGAGGCCCAATATTTTTGCAACCCCAAGCATGTCTATTGACGGTTTAAAAGACATAAATGATATGATTGATGATGTTTTATTGATTTTAACTATTAAAATTTATAAAATTATCATTCGATTATAGGACGTTGTTTTGTTGAATCTCGTGACTATTAAAAGTTATAAAATTATTATTTGATTATTCATATGTTCTACTTATCATTTTCCGTTAAAAAATTAGTGGTTATCTGCGATAAATGTTAACCTTCCGATTAGAATACGATAAAATTTTTATTCCAGAACCTTTTGAGTTGTATAATCATTTGAAATTATGGAACTAGATTTTATTATATAGTCCAATTAGCTGGTTAACGTTCAGCTTAGACTATAATCAATTTTTTAACAGAAAACGACGAAGTTTGGAACATATGAATAGTTAGGTGACTATTTCATAACTTTTAATAGTTAGGGGACTCAATAAAATAACACCCTATAGTTAGAGGATCATTTTGTAACTTTTAATAATCGAATGACTCAACAAAGCAACGTCTTATTATCGGGGATCATTTATGTACTTTACCCTAAAATAATTTACTATTTTCATACATACTTTAAATTATTTTCTAATTTAGTATCTTTCTGTGTCAAATTAACTCTTGATGTCTATTTTATTAGATGATGATTATACATGTTATCTTCTAACAATATTATCAATCTTCCTTTAATCGATTCAATTCAAGAATTCCATATTGAAAAATGTGACATGCTATGATATCCAACCTGATCTGAATGCTCTGGAATTATGGTTTTCTTCTGTTATGATGTCTGGTGATATTAGGGGTGTAATTATCGAAATGGTTTTAACACTAATTTGAGTAAGTAAAACGTTAAGAGTTAAAATGTTTTAAAAAAATATGGTCCAAAGTAACATTCAATCGAATGTTAAAGGTGTTTTAAAATGTGAATGATAAGAAGCATTTTTTTCGAGAAGATGAATAATATATTTCAAAAACTTACCACACCAAAAGATCATCAAAGGAGATTGGAGTATTACAACATCAAATTTTTATATGAACTCTCATCAATTTTAAGTGGTTTTCATGAAAAACCAATATGAAGAGAAGAAAGAAAGGTGAAATACAAATATTTTAATATCGATCTTGTTATAAATGACGACAATCAGTGATTGACCGATAGTGGTAATTGTAGATGTTAATGATTTATTACAAGGATCAAATTGATACCCAAACTAAAGTTTAATATCCAAAACTGAAGCGTTTCAAAGTTTAATAACAAAATCGATAAGTAAACTAAAGTCCACAAGTAAGAAATGACCATGTTATCTATCATTAACGATTTAATGATCTAGTGCCCTAATTGAACCCGAAATTAAAATTTAGTGCTAAAATTGATGTAATTTAAAGTTTAAAGATAAAAACGATACACACCTTAAAGTTCAATGATATTTGTTGTAGCCCTTAATTATATTTATTTTATAAAAACATATTAATTATAACATAAATTATAAAATATACAAGAATATACTTATAACACCTTATAACACCAATCATGTTATAAAATCACAACTGAAAAAAGGAAAACATTTAAGGTTTTTTTTGTTACTATGCATTTTTTCACTATTGATTTATAATTTTATCTCATTTTAAATAAAATAACTACAAATTATTACTTAATGATCTTACACAAGATTGGTAGATCTATATACAAATCCTTTATGATTCTAATTATGATCATTTATTAAATATTTTTTTTATAAATAATTCTTATATAAAATATATTTTCACTCAAATGACTACTGCAACGACATCTAGTATTTATTAGTTTTAAACTAATGCATAGCATGTGCTAATTAATATACTTATAATATTAATAATAAGAATATAGCTATAACATCAATTATAATAATAAATTTATAATATCAATTATAAATATTATAATTAATATATTATATAATTGATGCCACATATATATTTTATAATTATATGATATAATTGAATATTTTTATAAAATAAATATAATAACTTAAAATTTTGAGTCAACATTGATCAATGGCATAAATAAGTCAATTAAGAAATACGATTAAATTAATTAGGTAAATTATCAACCTAATAGGATAACTGGAGAAGAAATTGGCCTCAATTAATTTCTGTTCTATTCAGTGATGATGTGATTTGTTGTAGACTAATGACCGTGCATCAAATATTATATATAATGTTAAACATTTTACTATTAAATAAAAATACTTTTTATTACTAATTGTTTAATATATATTAAATATTTAACTTATTTTCTAGGCATTGATGTAGTACCCAAATCTTCCGATGGTACTTACCGTTGGGAGCGATGACGGCTAAACAGCCTAAGGTAATAATCGAGTGAGTATGTACAAAGTCCCATATGGATCGTTATCAAATAACAAAGCCAATCGGAGACATCATAGACATGAAGACATTTTACAGTACAAAAGTGTGATGGGTGGCTTAAGGCTCGGTCCTGAGGTTCGAATCAGTCATCAAAGGTTCAATGTTGCTGCCAGTGCTTGGTGCAATAGGTTGATGATATTGATATGTAGGAACAGGCATTTCTTATGGGAGAATTGGCAGTGCCACATCAGAATCAAGAACCTGAATTGCTTGCCTGATTGAGGGTCTTAGACTGCTATCAGGGTGAGCACACCACAGTCCAACAATCATGAGACACTCTATCGGTTGTTCATCGAACCCTGCAACCAACCTTTCATCAACACCTGCAGAAAGGTTCTGAGTTCCATAAAGATGCCAAACCCACTTCACCAATCCTAGATGGAAATTTTCTTCCACACCTGTAGCAATCTCCAAGGCAACTATCCCAAAGCTGTACACATCGGATGCCTTATAGCCCTACCGGTTCTCACGTACTCTGGGGCCATGTAACCTAATGTTCCTGCCAATCCTGTTGTCAAAGGGCCTAGCTCATGGTCCATTAACCGAGCTAATCCAAAGTCACCAACAGGGGCGTGGTTGAGCCGGCGCAAACTGCGCAACGGCGTAGGATCCCAAAAAAATAAGAGCCCGAAATGACTATTGAATCCGGCAATGACCGATGCCGACTGGCGGTTGGTAACCATTCTTCTTCTGGAAATGAACCATGTCGAAACGGTTTTTTTCTTGAAGGGTGAAAAAAGGTAAGATTTAAAAAAAACCACATTGATTCTTAATTATCTCTTTTTAATTTAAAAACAAATGCGATTTAAAAGACCTCTCGTTTCGAAAAATTTTGAATTTCCCTTACGATCAAAAAAATACGGTTCAAAGAGTCGCCACCAATCTTTGATTAAGGTGTGATTGGGCAGCCAAAAATGCTTTGTCATTTTAAATAAAAATTAATTTTAATTAAAACAACAAATTGAGGTCTGCGTTACCAAAAAATGAGTTCGGGAGTCGATTACGTGTGGGGAAGGATTAGCACCCCCACAACGCCCTAAATCGGTACCTAGCCGATTAATTAACGTCTTTGCAATGAACTTTACAAATTCGAATTTATTTTAATTTTTGATCCCATAAAATAAAATGTAAATTTGAAATATTAAAAAACACTCAAACAAATTAAATTAAAATTACCAAGTCATTTTAGAAAGATAAAGAATGTTCGATTATTTACAAATATCGAGATCAGATCTTAAAGATATAACAACCTTTTCTCGATATATTTAAATAAACGAACATTTCTTTTTCTTTCGTTCCCAAATTTTAGGTGACGAATCAAATTTTTTGGTTTCACTTTCGGGATACACTTTTAATTTAAAATCATTAAAAGCGGACCTCAAATCAGTTATGACTGCCCACTTACAATAATTTTAAATTAAAAGGGCATTACCCTTAATCTAATTATGTAATATGTCGAGTTATACACATGAGGCTAACATGCAAATTATGCAAAAGGATGTCACGCAAAGATTAATTAAAAAAATATGTTACATCTAAATCCATGCTTATGAACCACGTAATAGCATATGCACACATATCATCATCGTTCAAACCAAGGATAAGTATACATCATAAACGGATCCTAACTAATCACATATGCATACACATAAGAAACTTAAACATGAACTAAAACGTAACATGTAAAAACTTGGAGCCCTAATGTCTAGACCACAAAAAACGAAATAACCAACATTTATAACCAAAATTAAATGCGCATGAAATGCAAAGATCAAATTAAAAACACAACATATTAGATTTAAAGACGAAAATGCCAATTAACCAAAATTACGTGCCAAATGCATAAACAATAATAAAAAAAACATAAACAGGTGACCAAGAAAGAAACACTTACAAACATGAAGAAAAAATTATAAACTTGGAAAATGTGATTTAGTGACTCAAACATGACATGCAAAACAATGAAAGTCAAAAGTCAAAAATAGCAAAATTTAAAAAACATAAGACTGGGGACCGAAATGAAATGCACGAAAGCTATAGGAACAGAATTAAAAACATAAAAACTACAACATAGGGACAAAAACGAAACATAAAGAAAATTAACAGTTCAATGTCTGAAACGGCAAAGATTAAATACAACAACACTTAAGACTAAAATTAAAAGCGGATAAAATAAAGAGACAAAATTGGAAACAGGAAAACATTCAGTTTGGGGACCAAAATAAAAATAAGCACAAAAACTAGAGGGATTAAACGACATTTTCACCCTAAGGATTCGGTGGCTAAAAGTTAATTAACCATAAATCTATAATATATATCCTAATTTTAATCTAAATCTAGACTAAACTTAAACCTAAACACACAGCCGCTCAACCTCTCCATCTCCTCTCTTCCACGCACAGCGCTGCACCTTCCCTTTCTACTCATTCTCGACCTCCTTCTCCGATGGCCACTGACGAGAGCCTAAACCCAAAGCCTCCCTCTGCTCACCGACCCCCGCTAAGGAGCCGGAACAACCCAGGTAAACTCTAAAACCCTCGTCCTCTCTTTCTTGTTTTATTTTATTTCTCAAACTCTCACCTAATCTTATTTGTTTTGGTTTTACCCTTGAAATGTGTTTTATTATTATGCTGCTTGATTTAATAACTGTTTCGAAATGAAGACATAGATTAAACTGGAAATCGAAATAAGGATGAAAAATACCAAAAAACTTCTCCTTGCTTTCAATTGCTTCTTTGATTCCAATGCAATGGTGAGTGAAACTCTTATTACAATGTATGTTTTTTTTGAAGAGTTCTGTCCACTGTGGTTAATAAACACTTTTTCCGTTGTTGCTTGATCCTCTGTTGGAATTGCTCTCTGGTTACTGCTGATGATTCTCTGCTCGCTAATTCCCCTGTTCTGTCCCAAAAACCGCCCCCCCACTGATCGTGTAATTTTTTCTTTTAAAACTGCCCTCCTCCTTTCCTTTAGTTTTCCCCTTAAAATTAATGATGGGTGGTTATCTCCTAAAAACAAAAACTGCTAAAAACCGACCCTCAAACTGCTCTCTTCTTGTGCATATATCTGTTGTCTATTGGGCTTGAATGGGGCCTGTAATTGGTTTGCTTCGGCCCTGCTCCGACCTAGACTCGGATAAAAACGAGCATCTACAAACCAGACGCACGGCTTTGAAAAGAGTGATTGGCCTTAATATAATACTGTAAGGCGAAACTCCATTAGAAAAGGTTGGGAACACGAAAACAGCTGTAATACAGCTAAGCATTGCCCTTGTCTTTGGGGAACACGAAAACTAGAAAACATCACCCATTTGGTGTAATACACATGTATTAATACTGCTCATTAATATAATATTGTTCATTAATAGTCAGTGGGAGAACCACACCATTAATTTGGTGTAATGCAACTTTTGCTTGGATGCATAAAAAGGGCCCCTTGATATATAAAAAAGGGTCCTTGATATATAAAAAAGGGCATATAAAAAATATATCATGTGGTCAAATACTTGGGAGAAAACAAAATGGAACTTGGATGCATAAAAAGGGTCCCTTTATAAAAATTTGTACGGGTCCCTAGATAACCTAGCCACAGCCCTGGTCACCAAGCTTAACATTAAAGCTAGAATCTAGCATTACATTGCTTGATTTGATGTCGCGGTGAACCACACATTGCTGCCACTCTTCATGAAGATATAGCAATGCGGATGCCAAGCCTCGAGCTATTTTGTACCTACCAGGCCAATTGATAGGAGCTTTCTTTGGGCCGAAGAGGTGGTTGTCGAGGCTACCATTTCATGTGAATGATATCAACAAGAATACATTTTAAAGAAATAATTAATATTACATTATTTAACAAAATGAATAAGTTATATAATTTATGAATATTAATATTTAAATTATTTTATTTTAAAAATGCTATAGTTCAAGGATAAAAATATAAATAAATATGTGGTATATTGAGTTTAAAAATCGTCAAACATCTTTGATAATTATTTAAAAATATATATATATATATATAACGATTTTGTAATCTACTTTTTGAGTTAAATCAACTCAATTATCGATGTACAAATAATAACATTTAAAATATTATATTTAATTAGTTGGTAAAAAGTTAAATAAAAAATATGATATACATGTAAAATATTTAATTGTATATATAAACTTCATTAATAATTATTAACGGTTGATGGAACAAGTTTGTTTCATCGCTCGTCAGTGATTTATCTCTTCCAATTTTGGTAGAAAGTCATAATTGTTGTTGAAACGGTCATTAATCAATATTTCTCTTCCAATCAATGACTATTTCTTTTTTTTGAAATGGAATCGGAAAACGAAATAAGGGTATTTTTATATTTAACCTTAAATATTTTATAAATAAAATATTAAAGAAAAGGAAAGAGCCTCTGACAAATTAAATCTTAAATTTCTCACATTTGGATATAAAAAGAGCTGTTGAAGATAAAGCAATTGATTCCACAAACGAATAAGATGCATAAAATAAAATCAGATGAAAACAAAATGATACTGATTTTAAGGTCAATAAAGTCTTGATATTGTCGAGGCATAAATAATACTCCAAAATATCATGGTTTAGAATTATTTGAGGTTTAACTATTATTCTTCGATATATTTTTGATTTTTTGTTTGGTTATTTAAAATAGATTATCAATTATGTATAACAAGTTTTAAAAATAGAAATCATTTATTTAAGTACTGTGACTACTAAAAGCAGGTATAGAACAAGAATTTGTAATGATGTGATATGAGTAAGTTTCTTCATCTTGATATGAGTTAAAATCTAAATAATTGTGGACAGATTAAAATAATTACTGGAAATAGGTTATTTTTTTTAACATAGGTTATTTAACGGGTAATGCTATTTCACTGTTATATAGAAAATGTGAATTGATGTATTTAATTTTTTTAAATCAAATTGACTTTGCAGTAATTTTTTTTGCCTCTTTTGACAAAATATAATTTGCTTATCTAAATAACAATAATGTATCTTTATTTGTATTACATTTTTATATTTTTTTAATATTCTAGGGTGATTATAAGATAATAAATATATGTTCAAAATCTTTCTTATAATTGACAACACACGCTCAATGATTAAACTCTTTGAACCGAAGATCTCTAAGAAGAATATCATTCCCTTTGACCATTAAAATCAATTGATGGATTCAACCTGATGCGTATATTCAAAGGAAAAGGTTGGTGGCAACATGACGGATAAGTTCCGGGAGAAAAGATTCCAAGGTAGGCTGTGTGCCAAAATCTGTCTCAAATCACACCCAGCTTTTTACTTATATTTCTCGTATTAATTCTGTGGTTAAGAAATAGAGTTGTGGATAAGCCCTTCATGGCTAAGTTTTATTCTCTATCTTCCGTAAAAATATATCAACTTATAACCAACTGTGGAAATCTAAGATTTTAGTAACAAAGTGCAATAAGATTATACACGGAAACATCATGATTGCATGGAGACAAGGGCGGGTCTTACAAAAACCAGATGGAACCAAACTAAACCATGTCCGAAAGATTTGATTTGAACCCACAAATTAGCTTCCATTTCCAACCATCAAAAGCTTACCCTCACCCAACGCCACAAACAAAAACCTTAGCTAACACACAATACAATATCATCACCCCTCTCTTCCAAAATAACATACTTCTTCAATAGCAAACAAGAAAAATATGGCCATGGCAATGGCGCTTCGACGACTCTCCTCGTCCATCGACAAGCCTTTACGTCCTTTCTTCCATGCCACTTCGCTCTATTACATGGTTTCTTCTCCTTCTCCTTCTAAATTTCAATAGCCATTTCTTTTTTAATCTTTTTTTTTTGTTGGTGAATGCAGTCGTCTTTGCCAAATGAAGCTGTGTACGAGAAGGAGAAACCTGGGGTCACCGTAAAGCTCTTTTTTTATTATATAATTTTAAGTTCCATTTTACTTAGTTTATATTGAAAATACTCTCTTCTATGCAGTGGCCAAAGCAATTGAATGCTCCACTTGAAGTCGTTGATCCTGAAATTGCTGACATCATTGAGCTTGAAAAAGCACGCCAATGGAAGGTTCCTTCATATTCAACTTTGCTAAAATACATAGTTTCAAGAGTTTTATAATTTTAGTGAAATGAAATATGTTTGCGTTCAAAGGGACTCGAACTCATTCCATCGGAGAACTTCACTTCGGTGTCCGTGATGCAAGCGGTTGGGTCTATCATGACCAACAAGTACAGTGAAGGGTATCCCGGTGCTAGATACTATGGAGGGAATGAGTACGTTCAACTTTCGCCCTACACTCATTTTCATTCTACCTGTATATTGCTTAGCTAACCATGATGAAATTGAAAAATAAACTAGAAAATTAGAGTTTTTGATCGTAAAAGTATGTTGAAATTTGCTTTCAAGTTTCATCTTTTAGGTACATCGACATGGCTGAGACTTTGTGTCAGAAGCGAGCTCTGGAAGCATTCAGGTTAGATCCTGAAAAATGGGGAGGTAAGAGATATCCTCTAGTTTCATGTTGATGGTGGAAGAAGATATTATATTATGTTTGTGAAACAACTTTTGATGCTGTTTTGGGCCTAATTAGCATTTGGTTGTTCATCCAACTCTGTTGTATGGCAGTGAATGTGCAGCCCCTCTCTGGTTCTCCATCCAATTTCCAGGTTTACACTGCACTCCTAAAGCCTCATGACAGAATTATGGCACTTGATCTTCCTCATGGTGGCCATCTCTCTCATGGTTATCAGGTACTTCTAAATTCCATATCTAAATGACTGCAAATCAACAGTTTCTTAGGAGCTCTTCTAGTTCCTATCAGTATTTTTTTTGGTTGCAGCTATATGCTTACAGTTTCCTTCTGTGATTGATTAGACGGACACCAAAAAGATATCTGCTGTGTCCATATTTTTTGAGACAATGCCATATCGGTTGAATGAAAGCACTGGCTATATTGACTATGACCAGGTATATTATCGGTTCTCGAACTCCAATTGCTTCTTAGTTTATCACTGTGTGATTGGTTTCCTTAGTCGAATATTTTCTTGACATCGAAGTTTTTAATTGTAGTTGGAGAAGAGTGCAACTCTTTTCAGGCCTAAACTGATAGTTGCTGGTGCTAGCGCTTATGCACGTCTGTATGATTATGCACGCATTCGAAAGGTAATCATCTTTTGAATTATTTGAAGTCATCCGGTTAAGATTTCCAATATGTCATACATGGAAGGAAGTTCATGTTTTTGACCCCATTCGGTGTCACATTGGTAATGCATTAACCAGGTTTGTGACAAGCAAAAAGCAATAATGTTGGCAGACATGGCACATATCAGTGGTTTGGTCGCAGCCGGTGTCATCCCTTCGCCTTTCGAGTATGCTGATGTTGTCACCACCACAACTCACAAATCACTTCGTGGGCCTCGTGGAGCCATGATTTTCTTCAGGAAGGGAGTGAAAGAGATTAACAAACAAGGGAAAGAGGTTAGTTTCTGAAAGTAAACCTCATCTCTTTCAAGATGGAAGTGGCACAGAAATTTAGACTTTTTCCCTGCAGGTTTTTTATGATTACGAAGACAAAATCAACCAGGCTGTCTTTCCCGGACTTCAAGGTGGCCCGCACAACCACACGATTACCGGTCTAGCAGTTGCACTGAAACAAGCGACAACTCCAGAGTACAAAGCCTACCAAGAGCAAGTTCTCAGTAATTGCTCTAAGTTTGCACAGGTATCATTTGCATGATGTAGCAGAAGTTGTTATGCAACAAAGCATGGAGAAATCTCTTGCCTACGAGGAGTCATTCTTAGGGACATGTTAGATGATTTTAAACAATAAAGATCGGTTTCTCTCTTCTCAAATGCAATTGTTTTAACAACCGAAATCTCCCAAATTTGCAGACTCTGGCTGCAAATGGATATGAACTTGTTTCTGGTGGAACAGAGAATCATCTAGTTTTGGTTAATCTGAAGAACAAGGTAAGAGCATCTTGGACAAATTAATAAATCTTCACTAAAAGTTTTCATGTGCAAGGCAATGCTCTTTTATTGAACGTTTTCTGTAGGGCATTGATGGCTCCAGGGTTGAAAAGGTGTTGGAAGCAGTTCATATTGCTGCGAACAAAAACACTGTACCTGGAGACGTGTCGGCTATGGTTCCTGGTGGCATCAGGATGGGTAAAGGCTCTTAATATTAATGTACTTATGCTCGCTTGACATAAACTTATTCCGACAAATCCGGTTGTGCTTCAGGAACCCCGGCTCTTACGTCTAGGGGATTTGTTGAGGAGGACTTTGTTAAGGTAGCAGAATACTTCGATGCTGCTGTGAAGTTGGCTGTTAAAATCAAGGCTGAAACAACAGGTTTTTGCAAGCCTTTTTTCCCTCTTATTATACTCTTATCTCTGGACTTCTACTTGTAATTCTATAAGTACTTGTGTACAACACTTCTGCAGAATAGGCATATGATCCTCCTAGAATCTTTGAATTCAAAATATACAAAAAACCAGGAAAATTGAACATATCTTATCTGAAACTCGAAACCAAGTAGCATAGCATTCTGCTAATTCTTGGCTGCATGCTATTTGTTTTTGTTAACAAGGGACAAAGCTGAAAGATTTCGTGGCCACACTTCAGTCTGCTCACTTTCAATCCGAGGTTGCGAAACTCCGCCACAATGTCGAGGAGTACGCAAAGCAATTCCCGACAATTGGATTCGAAAAAGGAACCATGAAGTACAAGAACTGAGCAACCAGGTACTCGACTGATTTCACCTAGTTAAGTCTAATTCCCTTACTTTCTGATAAAGCAAATTAGTTAGACATCAAAAACCAAAATTTGTTGTCAGAATCTATATTAGGTTCCATCTGATGAGTTGTTATGTTCTCCGTATCTGCAATAAATCATGTTCTGGTTCTGTTATTCTTGTTGTCATGCCTTTTTGCTGATTATTCATGTGTTTGGACACAGATATGCATGTGCCAGTATGAGATTTCTTAGTGGTGGAGGCAGACCAGGAATAAACCTTTACTAGGGGGCCAATTTGAGTACAATGTAAATTAAGCTTTTATGGGTCTAAACGAGGAAACTTTGATATGAATATCTACTAAATGTGCATGCATGCATGCATACATACGTATGATTTGAAGCATGGAACCTGTTTTGAGACGTAATAGTTTTCTTGTTACTCCAGAATTTGATTTATGTGGTAAATGTCATGTTCATGTTAGTGAATAACAGAAATACTCTTTCATCCAGTGGCGGCATACAATGGAGACTAGTGAGGACATGGCTCCACACCTAAAAAGAATATTAAAAAATAGAATATATATATTAAAAATTTTTGATTCACTTAAACTCATGAAAAAAAAAATCTGAATATCCGATCTAAAAATTTAAATATTTAAAAAATAAATACTGGATAATTTGTATCTGAATTGATGAATTAACTAGTTGAATATCTCGATTGAAATAATTTTGAACACTCTCGTTGAAAACCTAGAGGAAAAACATGCCAACCATAAACCCACAACTAACCCAATGATCAAATCCAACTACCAACACCAACCCACCAAACCGAGGAACAAATATAAAAAGTTTATAACAAATATAAAAGTTGAGGAACAAGCGAGGCGAAGATTGTGAAAATCAGCATTTTTAAGGGGGAAAACAGAGGGAAAAAGTGAGAGGAAAAGGGAGAAAGAAATGGCAAGAGCAGGAGGGATAACGAACGCCGTGAACGTAGGGATAGCAGTCCAAGCCGATTGGAAGAATCGCGAATTTATCTCTCACATTTCCCTCAATGTTCGCCGCCTCTTTGAGTTTCTCCTTCAATTCGGTAAATTTTACTTATTTTCCTTTCTCTTCATTTTTCATTTTCAAGCTCCATTTTCTTTTCTTTTTAAATGTTAATTGTTTGTTTCCAGAGGCTACGACGAAGAGCAAATTAGCATCACTAAACGAGAAACTCGACACCCTGGAACGTCGTTTGGAGCTTCTTGAAGTTCAAGTTGGAACTGCTTCCGCTAACCCTTCTCTTTTCAGTACGTGATTCGTTTTTATAATTGTATTTCTTTCCATGTCGTTGTTGTGGTTCTGTTCCTCTCATAGTTTTCGACATTGTAGAAAACAGAGTTTTTTTTTTTATGTACAGTAACCTTTGTCGACTAGTGAAATTTGCTGTTTGTTTCTTTTGAATCTGTTGTATTTGTAAGACATTAGCGTCTTGCTGTTGCATTTTTCTATAATTCAACTTTCTCTTGATTGTAATTTTCTTTTTTGTTCAGCTTGCTTCAATATTTTAGCTGCTTAAAAAGCATACGTTCGTAGAAAGGAGAATTTATGGTTGTAACCGAAACATTAACACAAGGTTAGCCAGTTTTTCCTCCAAAAACAACGATTCAAGTGCAAATAATAGTCTAAAGGAAGAGGCTGAAGCACTGCTTGACAGCTGAAAATTCTGACTTCCACCGTGATAGACAAAAGGAAAGTGGATTTAATTGTGATGGTTGGTTATCTCCTTAACTAGAAGAAAACCAAAATTGTGGGCTTGACTGGATCCTAGATTTGGATCTAATCCAAGAAAAAGAAGTAAAACATTTTTCTTTATGCAGAAAACTTGTTGTCAGTTAGCTGCACTGTTGCGTTAAAAGAGTATTTTTCATCTAAATTTAGATCTATTTTACTTGAACTTTTCCTCTTGCATGACTTGCTTGTTAGTCTGCTCAAGGATATTAAATAAATAATTAAAACGGCTTCTTTTGGCTCTCTTAGCCATCAGTTCATTTATCTTTGAATTGGTTATAACTTTTAGATGTTCACAAGGTCTCTTGTATGTTAATTAATGTCAATTTAAACATTCTATGTTGGCAATCGCTATTGTATCTCCTGCAGTTGAGTTTTCAGTCAGTCAATCTGGATTCATAATGGAAGTTGTCTGTTTTATAGTATGGTTAGACATAAGCTGCTCGACTTTTCCGTAATTGAGATATGGTCGTTTAGCTATAGGTAGATTCAAATAGTGATCAGTTTGCATATATTTCAGTATGTATTGCTGCCCCAGTTGGTGGATTCTAAGATGATGACTTATAAAATAAGACTTTTATGTCATTCTCGAATTTTCAAGTTCCTTGAGTTGAGGTAGCTTGACAGGCCTTCACTGTAACTTCCTTGCAATCAGGTAGGGTATGGTAAATAGATCTGAATACTCCTTGGATCTCAGCACATTCTAGAGTATATGTCTGTATAGACATTGACTTAGCAAAAACATCCTCTATGCTAGTTATGGAGTACACCACACCTGCATTTTCTAGGAGGTAAGGTAAAATCAATTCACTTTGAGAGAACATAATAATACAGACTAGAAAAATACCTCAAACCTTTATATACATAAACTCAGAATGCAATTAGTTGATGTAAGCTTCATGGTAATGAATTTATTTACCCACTCTTTTGCGTGAGACTTTTTTCTATTGCATTTTCTCTTAGCCATTAGTTTTTGTCATAAAGGTAAAGAATAACAGTTCCAGAAGTAGCAGTAACTGTGGCAGATCCATATGCAGCAGTACCACTTGATTTCCAAAGACATGCAAATGATATACAAATGCAAAATATCAATACACTTTCTTTTAAATGCTTCTGTTGTTTGCAAAGAGTCATAAAAATTGGATTTTGTTTCATTCTTGATGGTGGTTTTGAGCTTTTCAATCTAGATGGGTGATCATTGTCAAGTTGAGCCACATAATATCTAGTTTCGCAGAAAAATATATAACCTTTTGTTAAAAAAAACTACTTGCATTATAATCACATTCAAGAAATGAGATAAGAGTCTGGTAGTAATCCCTGAAGTTCATTGTTACCTGCTTATATCCCTGAACTTTATACGATGTATCCTCTATACTACTAATCTTTCAATTGTTTCATTTATAGCACATGGCAGTTGCTAATATGGATGTTGAAATAGAACTGCGTCGTTTATTAGAAGATGATTAAGAAAAAAAAATGTCGAATGCACTTAAAGAGATTTGAACCAGGGGACCTTGAGAAGTAAAACCTAGACCTTTATAATATTTATAATTTATTTTACAAGAATAAAAAATTATTTATAATATAAATATATTAATTCTATATATTAATGTTATAAATATTATAAAATTTTATATATACTGTTTTTTATTGTGATTTTTCTTTAAACAGGTTTCGTATAAATATATGTTATTCTATTCACAAATCATGAAAGAAAACTTGACAAAATTATTCGATGCGGGTACACCTAAATCTTATACTACTAAACTCTAAATAAGTTAAATATAGTATAAAAAATTAAGATGATGTTAATTAATAATCTTATAATATTTATGTAAGATATATTTCAAAGGCAATATTCCTCAGTCAGTCAGTTCTACCCGTGACAGTCAGTAAACAGTTTAAAAACATAGGCTTGGTAGGTGCCTGTATCGTTTGGTACAGTCATATTTAACTTGCCAGTATTTATATTTGTAGCTCCCAAAATCCTACACATTTCCATGTTTCTTAGTGCCCAAATCACCAATGATTATACACATTTCCTTGTAGTATTTATATTCCTTTGTATATCCTTCACTGTGCCTTGAAATAAATCCCATATTTTAATATAATTATTATTTTTTTAGAAAAAATCTTATTTAGATTAAGTCAGAGTATAATTCTAGACATGGAAAATAATACAAGAATGCACCACATTATCATTAACCAACATAATTCTTCTTAATATATAAAATCACTAACCCAGTTAAAATATGGATCAATAAGTAGCGATGGTGTTAAGTCATCCTTGTTTTCGTTACGACTTAAGATTTGTGGGTCAAAACTTTTTCAGGTAATTGGGTTTTAAATACTTATTAATTTGTCTTAAATCTTATTCACCAATTGAGATGGATTGAAGTGGTAAGCATATTGATATCACTTAAGCAATGTCTCGAGTTTGAATCTTTGTGTATGTAGAAAATCTCTACTATGAGACTCATTCACCAAAGTTAGGTGTACGACGCGGGTCGGTTTGGATTAATCAAGACAAAGCCTTCAAACCGGAAGGAAAAAAAGTGTCTTATTGATCCAACTTCAGTGAAAAAGACGAATGCAACTTCAGACAGAACTACCATTTTTACATAATTCAAAGTTATATTAGAATTTTCCATGGACGGGGACCATATTGCAAACAGACTAAATGTTGGGGGGCCATTTTGCAAACAGACTAAATGTTTGGGACTTTATTACAAGTTTTAAAAGTTTAGGAACCTAAATGAAATATTTAAAAAAGTTAAGTGACCATTACTATACTTTACCTTAAAATAAAATAAATAAATGAAATATAGTTTAATGGCGTCACCTTTTCAACTCGTCCAGAATTAAAGGAAAAACAAAGCTCATCCCAACAATCAAACTTTCGGCAACAAGAAATGGCTCCTTCCTCCTCCATTACAGATTCTCCTCCTCCTTCCTGGTTCACCCCCAAACGGTATTTTTTATTCTTCTTCTTTTTCTTTCAAAAATCAACTTTAATTACACTCCCCCCTTTTTTGTTTCGAATGATTAAACTATTTAATCCGTAATTTCTGCTTTTTTTTTCCTCCTCACCTTTTCTGAATTTTAATTGCTTGCCGAATCCTGTTCTTACTAAAATTAGGGTTGATATAAGAAAAGTTAGGTGAAGCTAGAACGTTTATAGTTGACTTTTTTGGACCAATACGCTAATTCCAGACTTGTATTTTTTTTCTTGTAGGTTATTGATTATATTTTGTCTGGTTAACATGATAAATTATGTAGATCGAGGAGCCATAGCCAGTAATGGTGTGAATGGGAGTAGTAGGACTTGTGATGACAAGGGAATTTGCAAATCTGGTACTGGAATTCAGTAAGATTTTATCCCAAACGATTCCTCTCTTTTGCTGCGTGGATTCAGCTGCCATAAAATGTTTTCTAACCTGTTAGCTTCACTTGTGTTACTAAAAATTGTTTGTTTGCAGGGGGGAATTTGAGTTGACTAACTTTCAAGATGGTCTCTTGTCGTCTGCATTCATGGTTGGGCTTCTCCTGGCATCCCCGATATTTGCTTCCTTGGCAAAGAGGTTAATTACGATTGATGGTTCTTTGCATTTCTATTTGGTGAACATCTAGGTTGTGTTTGAGAATTTTGATTTCAGAATTTAGTATTAGTTGTATGAAATAATACATGGATTTTTCAAATTCATGGATTTTGTTGGATGCCTATTTAGTGTTGAATTAAAATTTATTTATATATATTTGTGTTTTTGAAATACATGTTTATATACTTTTCAAATATATAATCATATTGAATCTTAATATTCTACTCATAACTAAAGCTTTTAGAACTGACATTTCGGTAGTAGAACTGCCATGTTAAATACTAAATAAAATCAGGATTACTTTTTGGAGTTGATCGTTTCGTTGTTGGAGTTATTGTACTGTATTTGACGGTTAACATGTTTTTTTTTTTTTGGATAAGTAACATGTTGATTTTGGTTTGTAATATCAATTGATTTATATTATTGCAGCTACAACCCTTTTAGGCTTATTGGAGTTGGGTTATCTGTTTGGACCTTGGCTGTAGCTGGATGTGCTAGTGCATTTTCCTTTTGGTTTATCGCAATATGCCGAATGTAAGTGTAACAATCTCAATACCCTCTTCATTAGCTTATTGTGCCACAATGTGTCTTCTTTTTTTTAAAAAAAAAAATTGTGGCTGGGTCTTGATGTTTTAGGCTGGTTGGTGTTGGAGAAGCTTCTTTCATAAGTCTTGCTGCTCCATTTATTGATGACAATGCTCCTGTTTCTCAGGTTCATTTGTTTTTGTTTCTTTTTTAACTTTAGAATTCAGAGCTACATATACTATCTTCCTTCCAAAACTACACAATCATGCTAACTTTCTGTCATACTCCAGAAAACAGCATGGCTTGCGATGTTTTATATGTGCATACCTACTGGAATTGCTCTTGGATATGTTTATGGTGGATTTGTAAGTTTGTACATCGTGTTCTTTATTTCTCACTTTAGATCTCAGTTTTGCATTAAAGATGTGATTTATATACTCCTAGATCAAAGTACTTCATGAGACCCATCTATGTAGGCATGTCTCCAAGATTTTTAATAATTAATCAGTGTTAACTAATCTTATAGGTAGGGGGGCATTTTCACTGGCGCTATGCATTCTGGGGAGAGGCATTGTTGATGGTTCCATTTGCTGTTTTGGGTTTTGTGGTTAAACCTTTGCAGTTGAAAGGTAGTTGTTTTGATGCCCTGCACACTCTGAGTGTGTGTGTTTAAAATTTTATTTTTATGATCCCACAGTAATTTAATTATTGAACATCACTGAACTTCAAACCATAGGTTTCTCTCCTGTTGAATCCAAAAAAGCATTGACATCTGTGGACACTGTTTCTTCAATAACTGATGGTAAGTGTTCCTTATAGTTTTTCCTTATTGTATAAATTCATTATTGGTTCTACTATTTTGCCCGAAGTTGATTTCAATGGTAGGGTGCTAAGAACTTGCCATATATGCATGCACACCACGTAAAAACATAATCCAAAGGAAAAAGTTTATCCTTCTCACATAAAAATATATGATTTTTTTCATCTCGTGCATGTCAATCCTGTTTTCATTATCCAAATGTGTTAACTAAGAAGTGTTTCAGTATGTCTACTGGGATGTAGCCAAAAAATAGAAGTAACGAAATTTCATTTATGATGCCAATCCCTGGTCCATGCAGTAAGGACATAAAATTGCAAGGTTTTCTCTAGATTCAATAATTATTCTCTTGATGTGCTGTACAAGTTCTATAAATTTGTTTTTTTTCCTAGTAAAATTCTGTAATTTTTTAATCCCTCTTTTTCTTTTGTTTTGCATTCTAAAGGTACTTATACAAGACTGTTAATCTTGTTATTTGTTGTTGTCCATAGATATTTAGCTTTCTCTATTTTGTTAATCCTGTTCCAGCATTTCTATTTTGTTCTTCCCATCTCTGACCCTTCACATTTGAGCAAGGCTTTAAATCAGCACAAAACATGTGTAATCATGTTAAGAATGGGGTGAACTGGTGATTACTAGGGATTTGCATGGGCTGGGTTGGTTCAACTTCTTGCTAACAGAAATCTAGCAGGATCAAGTTGATTTTGATTATAATTGAAATAAAAACTGTTGGTTTAACAATCCAAACAAAACTCAACTAAAACTTTTAGCTTATTGGTCCCGTAAAACAGTAATAAGAAAAGAAATACCATCTAAAATCAATTTAATTCATAAACTTTTCTTTCTATTTTTTTTTTAAAAAAAAGGAAGAAAAAGGTTCCTATCTTTCTTGTAAAGAGCCAGCCTGCCAACTATTAAAATTCCTCTCTTTTCTTTTTCCCTTCTTTTATTTTAATTCTAGCCTATATTATTTGTAGATTCAGAGGCATCAAAACTAGACGGCCGTATGCTGGTCAGAGGTGACAGTATCAGTGCTGATGAATTGAGTAAAATTTCCAAGTAAGTGGTTATTCACCCCATGTTTTATATTAAATATTTCATTAGTTTATTTGTGTCTGTAAGTGGTTCTTCAGCCCATGATGGGTAAACTGTTTCAAAGCAATACTTATGTTTTCACAATAATGATGCAGGAGCTTTTTAATTTTTTTTTATTATTTCAGTTTTATTTCAATTAAGTATAAGAAGTTTTAGACAGCCTAGAATATTAGTTTTCTTGAGGGTTAAGTTTAAGGTTAAGAATAAAACTTTACTTGTAAGAAAAAAATTAACTTTGTTTGCAAGAAAGTTTATTATAAGTAAGTTGCAATAGATCTACAACCACATCAATCTTATTATTATTTTTGAATTAATAAGGAAAAACCAGTGGTTTTTAAACACTAATTTTTTTCAAGTCCCAACTTTGAAACTCATTTCAACCTAGTTTCTTGAGTTTTGTTTCTGTTTTATCTTCTTGACCACATCAATATTGGTAATTAGAGCCTCACTAGATCTAGGTTTTGGAGTAAGATTTACTCTGAAGCCATGGTTGGACATGGTAAAGGCCGCCCAAGAGGAAACTAGGGTCAAGAGATGGAGTTTGGCTGCAATTCGACAAGCGATGGAAGAATTGTCGCGTGCAATTCATGGTGCGTGAGAATCCGAGAAAAGAATGTTCTCTTTTAATAGGTTGTGAATTGCAAGTTAGACTCCTACTAGATTTCTATTCTTCTTAACTCTTATCTCCTACGAAGATAAAACCTAATAAAAAATATAGATAAATTAAAAATAAAATTAGACTTCTAAGATAGAATAAACTCTTAATCTCGATAGCTTTCTGCACTCCACCTCAAGCTGGGTATATATAATGTATAAACCCAACTTGGACTTGAATCCATCAAAACTAGTTCTTGGAAGGGATTTGGTAAGAATGTCTGCAAGTTGTAGTCTTAGTTTTGAAAAGCTCGCCTATGGCACTAGGCACAGAACAAAACGCCTCTGGACGAGAAGGTGCAGAGAGGAACAGAAGGCTCTCGAATTTACTGATGTCTGATGTAATTGTCAAAGTGGTTCATGTGTCTTTCGAACAATTGTATCTCTTCCTGTTTTACTGATGTTAAAAGTAAATCTATTCTAGGATTTAACTTTATGGATGCTGAAAATTGTTTGCTGTGTACTTTGATAGTTGGTATTCATTGAATAACCTGATTGTTCTTTTCTTTAGGTCAGTAAGCATACACAACATTCTGAATCAGCTCTCTCAGTTTGCGAAAGACATGAAAGTGCTTTTGGTGGACAAAGTTTATGTTGTAAATGTTTTGGGTATTTTCTTGACCCTCTCACATCAACTGGACTAATCCTTTGAGAATTAGTTTTTTTTCCCCTAAAAAAATATTAATTATGAAATTTTCAATTTTTGCGGCAACTTTTCATATTAAATTTTGCTCCTGGATATCTCTAAGACAATCTTTAGAAAATGTGGCGGCTTCTTTTCTCATTAATTTTCTGCCACAAAAACTTGTATTTATAACATATGGTATTACTTTGGCTTGTGAAATATTAATTTTTCGGCATTGTGTTTGTCAGGTTACATAGCATACAACTTTGTTATTGGAGCATACTCATATTGGGGGCCAAAGGCTGGTTATAACATTTATCATATGGTGCAGTTGCTTCCTACTAACATGCATTCTTCTCTTTCAAAGTCTTTTAGCATTTTCTTTTGGCATCACAAAGAATCTCATTGCCCTTTCTTTTAGTGCTATACTCATTTAAATTGTAATTTTGCAGAAGAGTGCAGATATGTTGTTTGGAGGTATTACAATTGTTTGTGGGATTTTAGGAACAATATCTGGTGGCTTCATCCTAGATCGCATGACTGCTACAATATCTAACGCTTTTATTGTGAGTTTTTTTTGCTCTGATGATGTAATTTGTGAATGTTTTCCTTTCCTTTTACAAGCATGTGTGTGTAAAGTAAGTTGATATAAAGTGTAGAGGGTTTTCTGAGAAATTGAACTATAGGCGGTATTCTTCATTATTTTACCTAATAAAGCCTCTTATGTAATAAAACAAAAGATGAATATAGGATTCTTTCAATGGAAACTTTCCTCGACTGTTAATTTTTTAAATCCACACAGATGAAAAAGAAATTGCAAACACACTGCAAAGTATAGAAAAATAACGAGTTAACCAGCAAACAGACAAACAAAGACAGATGTATTGGGAATTTGGGATTTTCATAAAATTGAGAAGTTCTATCCTACTTCCTGATAAATTGTCTTCTGGAATTGTCTCCTTTTTTATTGCATTATTTATGGCTTACTTTGCTTCTTTAACAGCTTCTTTCGGGAGCAACATTTCTGGGGGCAATATTTTGCTTCTCTGCTTTTTGTCTCAGGAGCCTGTATGGTTTTATAGTTCTTTTTGCTGTGGGTGAATTACTTGTTTTTGCAACTCAGGTAATATAAAAATGGAGTGAGCTAGATTTATGTTCTTGTTCCAAATTATTGTATTTTTACTTCTGCAGGTGTAAGTTGTCTCTCTTTCCCTTCTTCAATTAGGTTCGATTGGTAAAAAAATTTAAGGAAGATTTAGTTAGAAACTATTCCATGAGTCCTATACACTTGTTTTAGAGCACCTAGAGATAGGGGTGAGCAAAACTCTACTCGAAAAAATTGAACTTTTTGACTTGATTCGACGCTAAAAAGTTCGAATCGACTCGAAAAAATTCAAATAAAGTTTGAATTATAAAATAGGACCCGAATAACTCAATTTTTTTAGTAATTAGTGGATTGGTGTTCAAGTTCGAGTCTAGTCCCTCAACTCTCCATGATATATGTATATCACATATAAAATATATATATATATATATATATGTATATTGTATATGGTTATTGAAATCTGTTGAAATTGGAATCAATTAGTTCCATAGCATTATAAATACTTACATTTAAATTTAAACATAAACTTGAAAAACTCTAACTCGAAAAGATTTCAAATAAAATTTAGTTATAAGATAGGACTCTTCAGCTCAACTAACTCAAATTTTTTTAACTTGACTTGACTCAATCGAATACCCATCCCTATGTATAGATTATTAGTTTATACAAATTGAACAATAATATCATATTTCCCCTTTGGTAAAAGAAAGAGCTTTTCTGGTTCATATTCGCCACTGTAGTAAATACATCAGCACAGGAGCATATTTTATTATTTTGGATTATCATGAAATATTTGAGCACTTTTTCTGATCTAGTAGTGTCACGAATATTGATTTTACAGGCTCCTGTCAATTATGTATGTCTCCACTGTGTAAAGCCGAGTTTGAGACCATTATCTATGGCAATCTCTACTGTCTCAATTCACATATTCGGTGATGTGCCTTCCTCACCACTTGTTGGGATTCTCCAGGTGAGTTCATTTACACCGGAGCTTGTTAGGTACAGGTTTAGTGTGGTAAACTTGTTTATTTACATTGATATGCTGTTTCATGATTTGTATTTTTCTCTGAAAAATATAGGCCTTTTTAACTGTGAACATAATATTTCCAAATTCTTTCAGCCTATCCTTTGCCTTATTACCTAGGTTATTTCTTAACACGACTTCTATAGTTGCCTTATTGCGTATCTTATATTTATAGTCCCTCTTGTTGTACAAATACTTGATGCGGGAATCTGAATGTACATGTATTTCTTTCAATTCGAGATCTTATGAATTATTACATGTCTATGCAACTTCAACCTATCTATTTTGTCCATGGACTCAAATTTCTATTGCATCATTGGCGGTTATGTTTTGGGCAGGATCATATCAACAATTGGAGGTATACTGCACTTAGTTTGACCTCTATTCTCTTTCTTGCTGCTGGAATATGGTTTATAGGTGAGTAATATTAAGTTTTTTATAATGTTTTCCGGAAAGATCTGATGAGAGATTCTTTATTTTGTTCTTTTTTTAAATTAAGCCTCCTTAAAGCATAGTAATGTAATTAAAGTTCCTGACAGTGCATCTCTTGTCCAGAGGAGACTACTAATAAAATGTTCCTATTTATTACTGGATTAAGAGTTGTCTACGTGGTACAATGGTTGAGCTGCATCTTATCTGAGAGAAATTAAGGATGATGCAACTATATTTGTATGTGATCTCTAACTACCAGATGGTTTTGTGGTATGAGGTGCTGGGCCTCTTAAATAAGATCCATGGTTTGAACCCTAAGGTTATAAATGATGCAAACTGTGTTGGGAGGATCATCCTCATTATGGACCTATGCAATATCCGATTCGGATTAGTCAGCTAATAGATTGGATATCAGTGGTTATATTGAAAACAATATTTCCATGTGGTCTCAGGGTGAAGTTTTACTGGGGATTACTAGTTTGGATAAAACATTTTTAGTCTCTTATGGTAGACTGAGAAATCCAGATGCAGCATGATTACTTGATACTTTTTGTATATCAGTTATTTTACAGAAGACTTTATAATTGTTGCTTCTCTTACAGGTGTTTTCCTACGTAGCGTTGACAAATCCAATGATGGAAGTCAACAAGTCTCTACAACCAGAACGAAACCATTGCTTGATGGAAACGTGGATGAAAGTTTTTTGTGAAGTTCGAGTTCAGACCGGCATGGTATAAGTTTCCGAACTTATTCAAGTTAGTTTTCTGAGGCAGTCTTCTAAAATCAGTAGTTGTTAAAGCAAAAAAGAAAAAAGAAATTTGGTGGCATTTGTTGAGGATTTGCTCCAGTTGACATCTAAACTGGCAAATGTTGAGATTGCTTCTACAGAATTATTTGAAAGGATAAAGGTAATATAGAATGTTCTTTTTGTTCCTTTTTTTTCTGATTTGGATATAATCAATTTGTAGATATATCAACTAATCTATTAGTTGACATATGATTGATCATGGGTGCATGTTAACTCTCATTCTACCCGTACTATATTGTATTTGGATTCTTCCCCCTCTTCCGGTAGTTTGCAGATGGATGGTGAATGATATTTTATGTTCGGAATGGACCTTCAAATTGATTTGATTTGAAAAAGTTTTTAGTGCTGTTCTTGCTAAATTATGGATGTAAAATTTGCGTTCCCGATTTTAATTTCAAAAACAAGAAAAAAAATGAAAATGTGGGTTAGTTGGTTTCATTGGATCAATTTGGATTTGGATTAATTAAGGTTTTAATTTTTTTAATCAATTGTTTGAACTCAATACTTTTAAGGAAAATAATATTCTATTTTATTGTTGAGGCCACCTGAGGGGTCAATATTTTGAGCCAAGAAATAAGTGCAAATGTTAAGAAGCCTATAAACTTACAGTTTGAACTTATGGAAACCAATATTGGAAAGGGTATTGAACTTGGGCATCTTGATGATGCTATAGCAAAACAAGGGCCTAGAGTTACATGTTGATGTTTCTCTATCATGGGGAATGCCGGTTCTCTTTCAATTTTGATAACCAGACTACCCAATCTTTCCAGTTATTCTGCAGACCGAACACCTTTCTGTCTAAGGATAACATATGACAATACGTCTTTTACTTCTTCCCTAGTAATGTTTCATGGTAAGAAACAAATACAATCAACTTGTTCTCTCAAGACACCCTAAATTCGAATAATTACTTCTGTAGAGTGTATATTATTAATAATTAAAAAATATTTGACACATATATTATATTGTAATTACTCTAGATTATTAAAAAAATATTATCATTTTGTTTATGAAATTAAGATCCTCTTATCTACTTCTCTAATGAAAATTTTAAAATATACTATACTAATATAAGGTTCAAAAAGGGTAAAAAAATTGGTTACAATTGAAAATCTTAGTAAGAGGTCTAACTTTTTAAGTTAGAAGAGGTAACTTTTTAGGTAGAAATAAAAAATATTATTTTTTTCATAATATTTTTGGTTAACCGAAAATGTTACTTTCCTCATAATATTTTTTATAAGCCCTAAATTTCCCGCAATGAAAATTTTCAATTACAACAAAAAATTTATAAATTTTATAATTTCTTAGATCGAACATGATAATATTTTGTGTTAAAAACATTTTAAATTAAATAGTCGCATAATAAAATTATGTTTATCTAAATATTTTTACTCAACTCAAATTTAAATTTAGTTCTTATATTTTAATTCTATTTTTTTTTTGTCTAAGAACATTTCTCATAATAGAAAAACTATTGATATTAATTTTTTATAACTATCAATAATTCATTTATTAATTAATTAATTTTTATATAAATTTAATATAAAATCCAATTTATTTCGTTCTTAAACTAGAATTTGAACTCCAATCCAAAAAAAAAAAGGTATCGTCGGTATTTAATTTATTCCATAGCTAACAAAAAAATCACCTAAAAATAACTTCAAAACCTTAAACCCTCCCCCAAAACTTTCTTCCTCAAAATCCCCGAAAAATATGGCGACTGAAGCTACAACCACCACATCTGCGGCGGCAACCGAGCCTTTCAAGCCCTACACTCTCTCCCAAACCCTATCTGTTCATAGAAACTCCATCTCCTCCGTCAAATTCTCCTCCGATGGCAGCCTCCTCGCCTCCTCCTCTGCCGACAAGACCCTCCGCACCTACTCTCTCTCTCCCACGGCTGCCACCCTCACACCTATCCATGAATACTCTGGCCACGATCAAGGTGTCTCCGACGTGGCCTTCTCCAACGACTCCCGGTTCCTCGTCTCTGCTTCCGACGACAAAACTCTCCGTCTCTGGGACGTTCCCACTGGTTCCTTGATCAAAACCCTTAACGGCCACACCAACTATGTCTTCTGCGTCAACTTTAACCCTCAATCTAACATGATAGTTTCGGGTTCTTTCGATGAAACGGTGCGTGTTTGGGACGTGAAAACTGGGAAATGTTTGAAAGTTTTGCCCGCTCATTCTGATCCAGTCACAGCCGTTGATTTTAATCGAGATGGTTCCCTTATTGTTTCGAGTAGTTATGATGGGCTTTGTAGGATTTGGGATGCTGGAACTGGGCATTGTATGAAGACTTTGATTGATGATGAGAATCCACCTGTTTCTTATGTTAAGTTTTCGCCTAATGGGAAATTTATTCTGGTTGGGACTCTGGATAATACTTTGGTAAGTTTTCATTTTTGGGTCGTTTCTTTTTCCCCTTTTTAAGTTCTTTTATTGCATGTTAATTCGTTAAAAATTTCTGATTTTCCAATGTTAGATTGAGGGTTCTTTTACTGTTGTATATTTATATAAATTTCAACTTGTATGAGGAAAATTTGAGGTTGCTTAGCCTGGAAATTAAATAACTACTTTGGCGGCGTAATCTTTTAGCTTACACTTCCATTTTCGAGTCTGTTCTCAATGTAATGACATTTCAACATGCTTTTGTAGTTTATGTTATCTTTCAACATATGTATGTATCAGTGATGTAATGACATTTCAACATATATATATATATATATATATATATATATATATCCTTTAACGCACAAATCGGTCAATAATATTAATATCAGAATCAGAGGAATATGTCCATGTCGGTTTGCTGATGGGATGCCCTAATGTGTTACAAAATTTCTCCATAGACAATGATCCGATGAGAGAAATAATTGGAATTCTTGTATCCAACGTCTTCATAGCATTATCTATTATAAATGAATTTTCTAGAATTTGGCTCACACTTGAAAGATAGCCCACTTTAGTTTATTCTAGTTGGGACTCTGGATAATGCTTCGGTAACTTTTCTTGTCAGTTGTATGTGAAGAACAGAGTTGTTCTTGATCTTTGGATGAGTGTTTAAATTTAGCTTTGTTTATTCTTTATTAGATGACCTTTAATATTGGCAACTTAATAGAATTGTGCTTATTTTCAACGCTGTTTTTCTATGAAATCAGTGAATCAGTTGTTTTGCCTGAAATCTCACTGCTACTGCTTCTGGAAATGATCCCTTTCTCAGAAAAATTTCTAGGTTGTGTATTGGTATTACCAAAAATGGATAGAGCAAGTGCCGGGATGCCCCATAAGGATTGTTAATTTGTCATACTTGACTCACTTGCAATTCGATTTCACTTTCACCCTTCCTATATGTTTCCTTGCTTACAAATATTTTTATTTGAAGTGCTATTGAATTTGTAAACAATCCGTTTAGCTGAAGTAATTTTGGTTTGCTTTATCAATCAACTTTGCTTATATCTTATAGAAGCGATTTTTGCATATCGTTTCAAAGGCAAAAAATTATCCTGTATTGTTTTCTTACTTTTGAGTTCTTTTATGAGCTGATTAAGCTGGCTTTGAAGTATTCTTTTTGATGTTCTCTACCTGGTGTTTTTGTCCTCAACTGCTTTTTCTTACTATTACATTCTCTCTGCAGAGGCTTTGGAACTTTGAAACTGGGAAGTTTTTGAAAACTTACACTGGCCATGTGAATTCAAAGTTCTGCATTTCATCTTCTTTCTCTATTACAAATGGGAAGTATATTGTTAGCGGCTCCGAAGACAACTGTGTATACTTGTGGGAACTTCAGTCCCGGAAGGTAGTTCAGAAGTTGGAAGGTCATACCGATGCTGTTATATCAGTTGCATGTCACCCCACCCGCAACATGATTGCATCGACTGCACTCGGCAGCGATAAGACTGTGAGGATCTGGACTCAGGAGAAGGAATGATCTGGCTTCTATACCCTGTTCAGTATGTTTCACGTTTTGCGCTGGTAACAATTTGCGATTTTAAGTGTAGGCCAACTTGCTTGTCCGAATGAAACATACATTTTTTTCCTGGACCTTTTGCTATTTATCATAACAAGATTGTTCCATGTACCTTAATTTAGTCTTGTGACCCCCTTTCAGCCTGTGTATCCAATAACCACCTGATGTGTTCAAATTGCCCAGTAGTGCACCTGTTTGTCTATAATTATATTTAGTATTTATGTATCATTCTTCTACTTTGAGCATTTGTTTGCGCATAAGTATTTGTTTGCGCAAGGAATAGGGGGAGGAACTGCCTTGCGCCTTCATATAAAGCTGAACTTGGAAGGGAGATGGAACAGGGCATGTCAATTTTGATCCAACCCAAACATAAACTTAACCCGATTTGATCAGTCAATAGTCGAAGTTGGTCCAACACGAATATGAGCCCAAGTCTGAATTGTGGAATGTAATTATCATTTTTTTAGCGAAATTAGAATATCCGAAATACAAGGTGAAGATTCATAAACATAATAAACTGGCGTTTCAAGTGTTAAATATAAAATATGTAATTATCATTTAATGTAAACTATGTGATTTTAATTTGTATATTTTAAGAGATTAATCTGATCGAATTATTTCAATTTATTTTGTTAAATAAATTACAACCGACTTTTTTTAACTCTTGGTACGAGATTTTTGGTTAGTTTTAAAGGATGAATATTATAATTTAGGATTAATTATTTAGAGTTTAGAATATAAAATATAAATACATATAATATAATACTTTAATGTCTATAAAATTATATTAGTATAATATAATTATAAATATAATATATTGTTTAATTTTCACTATCATATTATAATAAAATTAATAATTAATTATATATTTTTATAAGAAAGGAAGTCTCGTTAAAAATCCCTTTCATTGTATTTTTCTGGGCAAAAACACAGAAAAATACAAGGTGCTGAAACTTTATTAGAACGGACAAAATATAACCAGTTAACAGTATCTTTGTGACATCAAACCAATAAAACAGAATACACCAAACTAAACAGCTTAAGCCAACAAAAGCGTGAGTTACATAACAAAACAAAATCAAATCAAACTTCATCGCAGCAGCCCTCCAACCGCAACAAGCCAGCTATCAACCGATCACCAGCCCTCATTCACAGCCACCACACACCAAGACTCGGGCTACATCCCCAAACAACGACTGGAATTTAAGCACAATCAAAGTAATTCAAAGTAAAGTACATCCATCACTAAGCAGCGCACCCAGTCCCACCGAGAATAGACCACAGCACTGATCAATGCTTGAGAGTCACCCTATTTTCGCAGACCATCTT